TTGGATCACATAAATCAGCCTATTCCGCTAGTCGTCATCCCTTTGAAGAATGAATTATGCAGTACTCAATCCTCGGAATGTCGGAGAAGCAATCATTAAAATCAGAGAACAATGGCACTGGGTCATTTAAGGATGAAATTGTTAGACGGTAAATGTTAAAGCACTCATCTTATGAATGTCTCGCTATCCCGTATTCACGTTCACTTGTAATCATAATTATTGTATGATTTTTTCTCCTTTCCCATGGCGTTATATCAGCACACGAAGTTCATACCCCTCATTGCTCACGTTAACAACTGTCCAAAATACCAAATACACACTCTACTCTTCTGATTCGGACGAAATTTGTGAGCTAATTATTAGATTCTTGACTGGTCTAAAAGAACGATCAATTTATGTGGTTGCTGTGCAAGAGGTTCGACCAACCGATGGTAAGTTTCATGCAGTGAATTCGAAGTTCGCGAGAATTTTCATCTACAATATTTCTCTCTAGTTTAATATGGTTTTGATGGCGTTATCATTGTTCGTGATCTGATGATAGTGATGTGAGCCCTTTTTATGTCTGATCACGATTACAATGTACCTAGTGTCTGTGGGCTGGGATAAAGTTCAGCTGGTCGTTGCTTAATGCTTCCAAATAGCCATTCAGGTTTGCGCATTTGATTCAAACAGTCGTTGAACTTTTAGTGCAATAGTGCCTCTGTTTGTTGACCTTGATAGCTGATACGGTGAATTGCATGTTACAAGTGACTTCCAAAATTACTGCTCAACATTAATTAATTAAAGTAAATTAAATAAATTTAGAACACAATTTCAGGCGAACAATTGTTCTCAATTACTCATAATCATGCCGTTACAGTTTATATGAGGGGAAAAACCTCAAGGGTTGGGAGGAGAACAGTAAAATGCGAGGAATTGTTCACTTCGTGTATGCGTGTCTGTATTTGTGTATTGCACACCGCATTCTCAGGTCTGTGCTTCCGGGGTTTACAGTTGTCACAACGGTCGTGTGACCCAGTACTGAGGGATCGGTGTTGTTGTGTGAAAATGTGTTGGAGTGTGGGCAGGGAGAGGGGTGGGTTCGCAAACCCGGGGAGGTGGAGAGTTTGAATAAGACGCTTCTGGGCACATATTTCGGGGGTCATGATTATGAGTTATTGAAAACAATTGTTCACCTGAAATTGTGTTCTAAATACAAGTATGGGCATATTTGGAAATTCCGTACTAATCAGCATGCTACTGATTATTTGAGCCTAGCTTGTTTGTTCATGCCATTTTATACGTACGTGTGAATTCCAATACATGTAACTCGCGTTTGCATGATCAAACGCTGATCACCGATTAAAGTAGTTTGTTCTTAACCATTCGGATGTAAATTCAATACCAAACTTTCAGAACAGGGATCCGAATTAATACCATATGTTTTGATGTCTACGAATTGGAAAATATTCCAGTCGCGTTGATTGCATCACTTATCGTCAGGGTAACTTTATGGGATTTTTCAATTCCATCGACCCCAAAGGATGTATGTAGCGAGAAGTGCAGTAAGAAACGAACATTCATCTAAATGTTTTCAAAGTCTCACGGAATACATCGAGAACTAGACAAATTGGCCTGGGAGCTCATTTTCAGTTATTCGAAATCACGACAAATACATAACATTAGATATGGTTATTAACATGAGGTAGGATGACAAATTACAGTTCTAATGGTTAATATTAGACTCTGAAACTGTCTGTGTGTGATCACATTGTCAAAAGGTCAAATGATTGGACACGACTTGAAGAAGATGAATGGTGCTGTGAAGACTAAGTGCTTGCACAAATGTCTTCTGGGAACACACTGCATACATATGATAATATGAGTGGAAATGCAGTAAAATAATCGCGTTACTTAGGTGGGTACAGACTCCTATGCAGTTCACACTCCTATGTGGGTTACACTTCAGTCCACGCCTCGTTTCAGTCACATTTAAAATTCGTATTTAACTTAGTTACCTATATTTGTGTTGGATAATTGGTATTGATTGATTTGAGTCTGGTAGGTTTTTGCCCAGTTAGCCCGTAACCTGCATGGATATCCTGACTTGATGGGAGGCTTTCCATTGGAGTTAACAGTATCTCATCTATCTCTCTTTGCTGCTTTCGGGCCAACTGAATTGACTGACTATCGCTGAAGACAACACCTGAACAAATATGGATTGGTAATTTGGTTCAGCTCCATGGTATGAGCTGGTTGGCACAGTAGTAAAACACACGCCTTCTATGCGATGGGTCCGGAGCTCAGGTCCCGGACGGGACGGTGGATATGCACTACTGATGAGCTCTAATAAGAGCGAAACTCTAGTCTAGTTCTTCCGAGAGTATGGTTCAATCGACGAATTGAGGATTGTATGAAGGTGAAGTCCGAAGGATAGTCAGTTCAAATCAGTCAACTTTTAAAATTGGTTTTGATATGTTAGAAAGATGATTCTCTTTAATGGGAGTATTCAAATGGGGCACAGATTAGAAAAAAGTCAATATAGTTGGCCTTGCCGTTCCAAGTGACGATGCAAATGCAACCCATTACACTTAACGTAAATCAATAGAAATGAATATTTATGGTCAAAGTAGAATTCTCCTTCAATTTGATTCCCATTTGGTGATAATATCCTATGGATAAAAGCATATAGCTAAACATGATATTTGGTAAATATTTTCTTTTGAAATCTTTTCAGTCGTGGACGGTGATCAAAAGCTACTCTTTATGAACTATGGTGACCTGATTGTGCTACGTCCTCCGGTAGAGAATAGTCATTTATGTTCCGAAAACCACCCAGATTCCTGTGGTCTTTCTTTGGTTTCCGAGCCCCTTTCCCCAGTTCCGTTTCTCCACGAGCATCTCGTGCAACTGGGGGAATCCACCGGAGGTTTGTGTTGCGGGGAAAATCAACGTACTCGACAAGTGGGTGAATTTCCGGCGAAATTCGTTTACATTTTACCCACATTGACTTTCCCCACACCCAAAATGTTGATTCTGTTTGATTCGACAAGCAGTGTACTAACAGATGGCGATCAAACACTAACCGATTTAGATGATTCCAGTCTGAAGTCTATTCCAAATGTTCCATCTGTGCTCTACATGCCCATGCTGTCAAACGGTTGTGGTCGCCCCGGTTCACTCGGTAAATTGCATTCCCGTTTCGTTTGCGATTCCATGGACGGAAGGTTAAAACGCTCACTCAGAATGCAACAGCACACGCTGCAGAAATTTGCCAGTATTCATTTCAGGTAGGTGTGTATCAGTGTTGTTCATATTGAGGTCTGTAGAGGTATCCGATACGATACGTTCCCTGTAGGGCGTAGATTTGCAATTTGGTCACGCTTCATGTGAACATGATGTCTCGGTTTCGATTGATTTTACCAGTAAAACTCCTCAAGAAGGAATGCCAATGAAATCGTTTGACAGGTAGTGTCCGCGGATATCAAGTAACTGAAGGACTCTTCATGTACTGCATGTGGTACTGTACGTGCTCAGTTAGTTGTGACAGCTCTCAACATAGTTGGTGGAGGTGGTGGTATCGAACGTGGATTCACCTTTAGCGTCCAATCTCAGGTCGCTAGGTACACTTAATGTAATCTCTGCCAGTTTCACATCAGGGGGATAAAATGCTCGATTGCCCATAAATATTGAGGGGACGATCAACGAAAAAGATATCGTTAATCCTTATCAATGAAGTAAATATTACTATCCTGGTTTTTGACGAACGTTCCCGTGAAGAAAGCATTCAGGTAACTAATGGATGCTAAAAACTGGCGTCTGTTTCCTTACGATTTCGTGCTGAATCCTGAACGTCTGTTTTAAGAGCAAACACTCCCGAGGAGCGATCTAATTTGGCCAATTAGGTAGATGTTCAAATGGTTGTTTAACAGATTAAAATATTATGTTGAAATTGTGAAAAGTTCATTAGCATCGGTGGGATTCAAACCCACGTATGGACGCCACCTACGCTTTTTTACGTGCACGCCTTACCAGCCGAGATACGAAGTCACACCGATAGCACTGATTTTTCACGTTCGATACATAAGACTTGAATTTGCCAAACAACCATTGGAACAATTAACCTTGCCTTAGAAGTTCATTCGGTGGACTCCGGTGAATTCTAAGGATTTGTCTTGACAGTCGGCTTACACGCTACCTGGTGGATGCCATGTGCCTCTGTAAGTTGGTTGGGTGATTCAAATGTGAAAAGGTCAGTGCTATCGGGATGGCTTCGTAGCTCAGCTGGTAAAGTGTGCGCTGTATAAAAGCTTAAGCGGTGTCCATGCGTGGGTTCGAATCACCCCGGGGCTACTGAAATTCACTCCCGGTTGGCAGACTGTTTTGACTAGAGTACACAGACTATATTGTGCTACTAAGTGAAGGTCCAGGTAAGTTGCAAGCTTTTTTGGATAGTTTGAGTGCTAGTCTGGCCATGTTCGGTATGCGTTTCGCATCTTCAAAGTGTAAAATGTTGTTGTTGTTGGATCCAGCCCCCAACCTCATCCTGACTGGGGAAGTAGTAGAGGAAGTATACAAATTTTGCTATCTGAGCTACATCTCAGCTACATCTCACCTGGCGGATGTATAACAGATGAAGTGTCAGCACGCATACCAAAGGTTCGGTTGACATTTGCCAACTTGAGGCATCTGTCGCGCCGTCGCGACTTCCGGGTGTTTGTTAGCAGATTGATCAGCGATTNAATAGAAGGCACTTTACGTGCCTCAACGGCAATAAGTTCTCCACTCGCCCAGTTTCTTCTGGTGTCCTGCAAGGTGCAATATTTTCCCCATTTTTGTTTTCTACGTATGTCAAACCATTTCCCATTCCTCCTGCATTCATTGGCTGTAAATACGCAGATGACGTTCTGTTAGGTTGCAAAGAGGCTTTAGAAATTCAAAGCAAGCAAAACGACGTTGTCACTTGGCCCTTGTCCCGTTCCCTCTCATTGAATGCCTCTAAATGTCAGAATGTGTTTTTCCTCTTGGCCGATGTACCATATTCAGCCCTAACAGATAGGTTCCCCACCCTCTCTGCAAATCAACAGTCCGTACCGAAATCAAAAATAGTAAAATATATTGGCGTCACCTCATCACACATATTATCATGGTCACTGCATGTTTAAAACATTCTGTAAAATTAGAAAACTTTCATATTTCTCACTCCGAATGAGATTACTTTCTGTTTCCTATAAGCTGATTGTTAGATTTGTGAATGCATGCGTACTACCCCAATGGTTGTATTGCTCCCCAGTAATTTTTCCCGATATGTTGAAGAAAGACGTTTATTTACTGGCGAGATTTGTGAAACACATCTCTAAATGTAGTGGCTTTGGCAGGGATAAACTGGCCGATTCTGTCACTGACAGACACCTACAAGCATGCGAAAGTTTCACTGCAAAATACTTTCAGACACTCATCGCCCATTACACAACGATTTTTCAAAAGCTGTATTTAC